GGCAGTACCTTTTCTGGCCAGCTTGTACTTGCCATTTTCATGGCGGTGAATTACCCTCGTGCAAAACCACTTCTGCGCCGAAGAGCTGCAGTACCAGCAGGCGCATCCATCAGGGAATGGATTCTCTGAGCCGTCTTCCGCCGCCCATTCTTCATTCAGTTCGGTGTGGTCAGAGCCGGCGGCGGACCCAGCAGCAGATGCAACAGCTATCCAATCGTCGTCCGCGGACCCAGCGGCTGGCGCCGCGTCTGCGGGTGACCCCGCTTCTTTGCTGGATCCTGCGGGTGACCCCGCCTCTTTATGGAATCGGCGGTTCCATTCCTTGAGGCGATGGTCATTGGGAAGCTGTACCCAATTTTCCCTGACAGTGTTGGCAACCTCCTCGGTCATAGGGACGCGATCGGCTTCTGTGATGCGCTTTCCTCCTCCAGGGACCTCCTTGTTAGGATCATGGACGTTGCCAGCGTCATCTCCATGATACCAATTCCACGGGGTCTCACCGTGATGAGGACTCCTGGAGGGGCGGTCCATCGGACAACTGCGCATGTGACCTTTGAAGGGCTCGCACTGACATACTTGTTTTCTGTATGTCTTGCGATCGTTGATGATCTCCTGTTTCTTAGCCCTTTTGTCCCAAGCCTCTGGCGTTTTGGTCTTGCCACCCTTGGTACGTATTATCACGCCAGTTTCGTCCCTTTTGGTGCAGTACTCCTTAGAGTACCAGTGGCGGATCACGTCCATCGAATAGCCGGGGTACCAGTTGATGTACCAATCCGGCACATGCTGAGCGGATACTCCAACGGAGTGCTCAGTACTGTATGGATAGCCCGATGCATCATGTGTAGGGCGTCTGGGAGGTGAACGGCTCCTCCTGCGGGCTGGCCCCGCTGACGCACTACCACGTTCCATTGGCCTTTGATCGTCATGCTCTGAGTCTCGGGGAGGCGACGGTCGTCTGTCCCTCTTGGCGTAGCGCATGTCCTCCGAGTCCTCTGAGCTGTCCTGGACCATGAACACGTGTTGATACGGGCTTCGGAAGTACCCGATGTCGTTTAACTGCTCCATCGTGAGGTCGTTAAGGTCTATTTGATCACAACCTTGCATAAATACATCCATAGACCAAGCGGGTGGCCCCGCTGTTGCGGCTGGCGTCACTTCGGCGGGTGACCCCGCTAGAGCCTGGAGTGCTGTCAGCATCTGAGGTGCCGACATGTCCGTATCCAGGTATGGACGCAGCCGTGCAGCCCCTGGGCGCGACAGCAGGTCGTTCATGGTTATCTGCTGATGTGCTGGCGCACTCAGGAGTCGGATTGCTTCAGCGTCCTGCTCTTGGAGCATGTCCTTATAGTCATCTTCCGCCTCTTCGGAGTCAGAGTACGCGGGATGGCCCCGCATTTCGTCATCAGCGTCTCCCGCCTCCGAACCAGCTCGCGGAAGATCTGGCAGAAACGGCATGCCAATCACCTGCGGTGCCAGCGCGGCGGTGAGCTCTTCCTCGGTCGCCGGGACGGTCTCAGCTTCGGAGACCTCGTCGCCGGCGGGTGGCCCCGCTGGAAGACCGTACCAAGCATTGAACGCGACCTCGTCGACCTCGTCCCAGCCGTGGAACTCGTCGAAGAGGGTCACTGCGTAGTCTTCCAGGGCTACGGTTGCTTCAGCGTAGCGGGCCATCACGTAATACGTGGAAGAGCCCGCAGCGGGAGCCGCTTCTGGATTGACGTAAAACTCGTAGTCAATGTAGTCTATGTCATCCATAAAAGAATTTTGAGCCAAATGTACGGATCCCTTTCCTTTCCCCTTCGGGCATTGATCGCGCAAATGATCTGTGCTACCGCATGTATGACACTTCATAGTATTGCCAGAAGCGTCCCTAGGGTTGCCCCTCCGCCCTTTTCCCTTACCGGAGGTCCGCCTGTGACCCAGACCTTTGCCTCCGATAAGAACTTCTTCAAAAGCCATATCAGTTAAGGACGTGAGGAAAGCAGTAATACCCCTACCATGCATACGGCGTCTGCGACCCCCTTTGCCACGACCCTTTCCAAATCGTTTGAAATGTCGGCGTGCTGCACGTCTCACCTTTCTGACTGGTTTCTTCATAAAGCGCCTCCAACGGCGTTTTGATTTGCGATAAGCCATAAAAGCGGCTTCCGTTCTTTGTTGTTCAGAAAGGTGAGTGTCATCCGCTGGATAGTCATTACCAGCAGAGACTATGCCATTGTGCTCATCGTCAGATGAGGTGTCTGTGTCAGTGCCAGATTCAAACGGTGAGGGTGGCTGAGACCTTTGAGCGGATGACTCCGCTTGGCCCCAGAGGGTTGTGCCCGAGGGCGGGCTTGCAGTGTAGGCGGCGCCTGGCGAGTAGTTCGACCAGGCGTTCGCCTCAGCTGCCTCTGCCGATGCCTGGCCAGTCTGCCCTAAAAGGGCAGTGGCCTCGGTGGGCATATCGGCTGGGTCAGCCCAAGGATTTGGCTCGCCAGGACCAGCGGGTGACCCCGCAGTCGTGGCGTAGACACCTGCATGCGAGTGGTGCCCTGTGAAGATACCCGCTATGTTGCCAGGAGAGCGCTCGGCAACATGTCCGTAGTTCCTCATCCTGGTCAGCAGCCTGTCATAGTCTGCTTGTGTTCGGGGCATCTTCAGAGGCCAGCAACATATGTACACGTACGCGGTTAGCTTCCCCTGGAGTGCGTGTCAACGCGGACGTTCGTGCAGGCAAGACCGCGGAGGGCGTACATGTACATATGTCGTTGCTCGCCCACATCTGATGATTGAAGGGCTCAAGCAGGTGTTGGGCTCGTGACGCGCCAACGCCTAGCGCTCTGAAGAGAATCAGCGTTAGGATCTGAAAGTTGGGGATGACAAAGCCAACAGAGTTAGCCTCGTCACGAGCCATCTCGAATCGAGCTAATACTGAGTCGATTCGCTCGCCCCTTTCGACGCGGAAGTCGATAAGGGCAGTGCCAGAGTTGAGCTGGCGCTCATCTTCCAGATTTTCAAATTTGGTGCTCAGTAAGTACAGTATATATGTTACTGCATCCGTTGGTTGTCCATTGACAGTTACACCATAATTGATGATCTGGGAGGGGACCTGCATGGCGATACGACGAGCAAGACCTTGAAGGCCTCGTTGTAGTGCTGCAGCTTGTTGTGGTGGTGTCATATTGCCGCTCGTTACGTTTAACCATGCATGTACTTCGCGAACCTATTCGCGAAAAGGCGTAGTACCGGCAGGGTCCCATGAAGGGCCAGTAGTACGCGTGTCGTCCATCCCCTGCCGCATGTATCCCACAGCACATCCCATTATTACCCACAGAATGCCGAAGATAGTTATCTTAATCCAGTGCATGTGCATTTCGGCTTCGGTGATTGGTTTAGGCTGTGGTTTGTCAGGCTCTGGCGTAGTTGCCGTGAGGCGCCTGACTGGCACGGGATGCAGGTGGCCCCGCTGCGGGTAGCCCCGCAGGGTGACCACGTTCTCGATCGAGTTGCCGATTGGCATCTGTGGAAGTCGAGAGTGAAGTGGCGCAGTGAAGTAGGAGAGAGCGTCTCGAGTTCGCGGGTTGCCCCGCTAGCTCGATCGCGGACTGGCTCCGCTCCTCGCAGAGCCGGCGCAACATGGTATTCCACCGTGGTAGTAGTCCACCAAGTTGTGCCGTGGATTACAGGAATCAGAGCGAGAGCCAACCACACGAGAGTGTAGCCAGCTCCGCTACCAAGTCGAAAACAAGCTGGTAAGCTTAGGTATGTGTTACGCTTTAAGCGTTGCCATATCCCAGGCTTTGGCTCATATCGCATGAGCAAGAGAGCAAGACGAAGCATGGGATCTGGAGGAAAGGATAGGATGGGCATCGTCAATGGAAAAGGTATTTTCCGATCTCTGATGCAAGTCGTGCGCCTCGGTGAGGCACAATCACATATTTGGCCGGGCCCGGCTTGAGCCAGGCACGGCAGCGGTACATGCTCGATTTATACCTCGCCTTTAACCTTCTCCGTTTAAAGTCAGATCGCAGCCCGACGGCACGAGAGAAGAGCAGAGGGGAACGCAGGAAACAGGAGAGGAGGAGTAGTGGGGAGAGGGGGAGACAAGGAAGGAAGGATGGGGGGACCACGCTGCTCTATTCAAAACGAGTACCCAACACAGGAGGGTTGGGGGAAAAAAACCTGTCTCGCCTATCCCCATCCGACGGCCACCCGAGGCTTCAAGATGGCTCCAAGATGGCCCAAGAGGGCCCCAAGATCGTTCCCAAGGCTCCCGAGAGCGCTTCAAGACGGCCCCAAGAGGAGGCCCGAGGAGGCTCCAACAAGCGCCCAAGAGGCCTCCAAGAGGCTCCAACGAAACGCCCAACGCGGCCCAAGAGGGCTCCGAGACTGCCCGCGAAACCCACTGGACAGCCCAAGACAGCTCTAAGATGGGCCCCATCGGGGGAACCCGAATTGAACTTCCTAGCTTGCCGACCCGCGCGATCGTCTCAAAGCGCTCAAGATGGCCCCCAGGCGGCCGAAGGCGCCGCCAAGGAACCCCAAGGGAGCCTCAAGAGGCCCTCCTAGAGAGCCTCGCCAACCTATCTTCAAAGCGCAGGGGAACTCTGAGGGGCGAAACGATCGCCAAGCCTTGGACGCGCGCCCCGTGGCTCGCGACGGGCGCCGCACCGCCCCAGCAAGCGCCCCCTTCTCAGCGCGCGGCCTGCGGAGGGCCCGCCTTAAGGACCACAGGGTTGCTACCGGCCTTTCTCTTTCTTGCCCTTCCCCGTGCCTTTTTTTGCCTAGAAGAGGCCCCCCTCCCTCCCCTCAATATCGCGGGGGCGGTGGAAACTCCTGGGTTATGGGCGGTGGGGGCGGGGGGGGCCGAACGTCCGAAACTCGGGGGGGCGCCGCACCTCGCCGAATAAATTCCGCCAACCTCGAACTCCCGCGAAGGTCCCCCGCGTTCGTGACACCCCGCAGATCCGATCCACGGCGGAACGGTTGCATGCTGCTGCCATTGCTACCTGCTCCTTGTCCTACTGGCCGCTGAGCTCCGCCGGCAGCTTCGCTGCGCCCCGCCCCAGCGGGCCCCGCGGGGCTGGGCCGATGCGGCGGGCGGCGCCGAAACGCCTCAGCATCTCTTCCACCAGGGCGATGAGCGCCGGCCCCATCTCGTGTGTGTAGTCGATCGCGTAGATCAATCTGCCCCTCGCGCAGCCCTCCTGCTTCGCCTTGCTCCTCTTCCAGTGCCAGTGGAGCACCAGTGAACCCACCTCCTGAACCGATATCTTCGCCAACTTCTCGGTCCACATCTCGAGCGCCGCAGTCATCTACGGTTCCGTCTGCTCTGTTTTCTTCTCCATCGTCGCGGCCCAGTGGAACACCTGCATGAAGATCGCCACGAAAGGCGGGCCCCTGGCTGCGAAGTCGACCGCCTCGCCGTCCTTTTGGCGCTGCTTCAGGAGCTGCGACTGGCCGTTGTAGTCCTGACCAGGCATCTCGTTCTGCACCGCGAAACCGCAGTCCACGGCCACGTCGCACGCGCGGTGCACTGTGCTGCTCAGGTCCGCCAGCGCCCCACTGTCGGTGAAGACCAGCTTGGCGACCAGCAGCACCAGGTTCTGAAGAGCGTTGGACCCGCCCGCCACGCGCTTGGCTTCGTCTCTGGCGGCGCCGCTGCGCGTCTTCTTGGCGGCGGGGCCGGAGGATGGGTCCTTCATCCAAGCTGGCCTCGACAGGTCCTCGTCGGCCGCCGCGGCCGCTGCCGCCGCCGAGCTCATCGTAGTCGCCAGCTGGGTCGAAAGGAACTTCGGGGACGCCTGGGATCGGCGATGCTACGTCCACTGGGAGGTGACTTGTAACCAAATGGTTGCACAAATCGCCCACGTCTATCGAATGGTAATCGCAGAGAACACATACCAATGATGCGGGAGGCTGACGGGCTGCAAACGTGGAGGACCCTCTCGCGGGGCATGATCCGCTTGCGAGGGTTATCCGCTGGTGTTTGTAGGGATTAGTGGCTAGCGAAGACCCGTCGGCAGACTATGCATGTATTCGTCGGCGTCACCGCCGAACCTATATGTTTCCGCACATCCTAACTGGGGTTCTTGTTTTCTCTGCACACCCTCCGCGCAGGATCTCCTCATCCTCCCTCTCCTCTGCTCCTCTTTGCTTCCTCCCCCGCATCATCATCACCATCATCATCATTCCCCACTCATCATCATCATCACCATTAGCATCACCATCACCATCCCACGATCACTCACCATCATCGGCATCGAACGATCATCATCATCATCATCATCATCACTACTCGCTGACTTGAGGCCTGAATATGATGGAGGTCTCAGGCGGGAGCCTCGTCTGTGAGTGAATTGTGAGGAAGTCTCAGGCGGGAGCCCCCTCCCTCTGGGGCCCGCACATCATGTTACTAATCCGAGCGGGTCATCGGATTCCTGTACCTGTCGTGCTTTTGGGCTCCTCAGGCTGAATTTGGAAGAAGTATCAAGCGGGAGCCTCGTCTGTGAGTGAATTGTGAGGAAGTCTCAGGCGGGAACCCCCTCCCTATGGGGCCCGCGGATCACGTTACTAATCCGAGCGGGTCATCGGATTCTTGTACCTGTCGTCACTTTTGAGCTCCTCAGGTCTGAATTTGGAGGAAGTATCAAGCGGGAGCCTCGTTTGTCAGTGAATTGCGAGCAAGTCTGAGGCGGGAGCCCCCTCCCTATGGGGCCCGCAGATCATGTTACTAATCCCAGCGGGTCATCGGATTCCTATATTTGTCGTCACTTTTGGGCTCCTCAGGTCTGAATTTGGAAGACGTATCAAGCGGGACCTTCGTCTGTGAGTGAATTGTAAGGACGCGTCAGGCGGGAACCCCCTCCCTATGGGGCCCGCGCATCACGTTACTAATCCGAACGGGTCATCGGATTCTTGTAACTGTCGTCACGTTTGGGCTCCTCAGGTTTGAACTTGAAGGAAGTATCAAGCGGGAGCCTCGTCTGTGAGTGAATTGTGAGGAAGTCTCAGGCGGGAGCCCCCTCCCTATGGGGCCCGCAAATCATGTTACTAATCCGAACGGGTCATCGGATTCCTGTATCAGGTTTGAATTTGGAGGGAGTATCAAGCGGGAGCCTCGTCTGTGAGTGAAGTGTGAGGAAGTCTCAAGCGGGAGCCCCCTCCCTATGGGGCCCGCAGATCATGTTATTAATCCGAGCGGGTCATCGGATTCTTGTAACTGTCGTCACTTTTGGAATCCTCAGGTCTGAATTTGGAGGATGTATCAAGCGGGAACCTCGTCTGTGAGTGAACTGCTAGGAAATCTCAGGCGGGCGCCCCCTCCCTATGGGGCCCGCAGATCATGTTACTAATCCAGGCGGGGCATCGGAATCCTGTAACTGTCGTCACTTTTGGGTTCCTCAGGTCTGAATTTGGAAGATGTATCGGGCGGGAGCCTAGTTTGTCAGCGAATTGCGAGCAAGTCTGAGGCGGGAGCCCCCTCCCTATGGGGCCCGCAAGTCATGTTACTAATCCGAGCGGGTCATCGGATTCCTGTACCTGTCGTCACTTTTGGGCTCCTCAGGTCTGAATTTGGAAAATGTATCAAACGGGACCCTCGTCTGTGAGTGAATTGTGAGGACGCGTCAGGCGGGAGCCTTCCTATGGGTCCCGCAGCTCACGTGGTTGCTCCGGGTCATCCTCCGGCGCGCGCTTCCTCTGGGTCGTCCTCCGGCGCGTATCGGCTGGGACGCACGTCGTGCGCTTCCTCTGGGTCGTGTTCCGCACGAGGACGAGGAGGAGGAGGATTGCCAGGAAAAGGAAGAGGGATGATGCAGGACGAGACAGGAAAGCAGGAACAGGAAGAGGCTGAGGGGAGGAAGGACGAGGAGGAAAAGGAGGAGGAGGAATGCCCGAGGAGGCCCCAGTAGGTCCCAGAAGGCCCAGAAGGCTCCAGGAGGCCCCAAGAGGCCCCAGGAGGCCCCAGGAGGAGGCAGGAAGCCTAAGGAGGAGGCAGGAGGAGGAGGAGGAGGAGGAGGAGGAGGAGGAGGAGGAGGAGGAGGAGGAGGAGGGGGGGAGGAGGGGGGAGGAATATGGAAACGAGGAGGAGGAGGAGGAAGCGGATGAGGGAGAGGGAGAGGAGGAGGACAGGGGATGAGGAGGAGGAGGAGGAGGAGGAGGAGGAGGAGGAGGAGAAGGGAGAGGGAGAGCAGGAGGAGGAGGCAGGAGGCAGGAGGGGCAAGGGGAATGGGGGGGAGGAAGCATAACGAGGGGGAGGGGGAGGAGGTGGAGGAGGCAAGAAGAGGAGGAAGAGGCAGGGGTTGAGGCAGGAGGAGGAGCAGACAGGAGGAGAACGAGGAGGCAAGAGTAGGTGGGAGAAGGGAAGGGGCAGGAGGATACCCCCAGGCAAGCTAAAGAGATTCTCATGTGGGGTCCTTCCGTCGGAGTAATGAATAGAGCACTGCGGTCGCGTCTCCCCTCCTCCTCCTCCTCCTTCTCCTCCTCCTTCCCGTCCCCCTCCTCTCCTCCCTTCTCCCGATCTGTGAAACTGTCGCCAGTTTCGAGGGCTGCTGGGGGGGCCAGCACAGTGACGTCTTAATGGGACTCATATTAGACCTCGCCATCGCTGGGGGGCCGCGATCCGTGAAACTGCCGCCCCCCTTTCGTGTGCGGCTGTGCTGGGGGGGGGGGGGGGCAGCGTGGAGTGCGACGTCTTTATCGGGGATTCAGATTAGTACCTGCCATCCTTGGGGGGCTGCGATCTGTGAAAGCTGTCGCTCCACTTTCGAGGGCTGCTGGGGGGTTCAGCGGAGTGACGTCCTACGGGGACTCAGATTAGACCTCGCCATCCCTGGGGGGCTGCGATCTGTGAAACTGTCGCCACTTTCGAGGTCTGCTGGGGGGCCCAGCGGAGTGACGTCTTACGGGGACTCAGATTAGACCTCGCCATCCCTGGGGGGCTGCGATCTGTGAAACTGTCGCCACTTTCGAGGGCTGCTGGGGGGCCCAGCACAGTGACGTCTTACGGTGACTCAGATTAGACCTCGCCATCGCTGTGGGGCTGCGATCCGTAAAACTGTCGCCACTTTCGAGGGCTGCTGAGGGGCCCAGCACAGTGACGTCTTACGGGGACTCAGATTAGACCTCGCCATCCCTGGGGGGCTGCGATCAGTGAAACTGTCGCCACTTTCGAGGGCTGCTGGGGGGGAGGGGGGCAGCGGCGTGACGTCTTACGGGGGCTCAGATTAGACCTCGCCGTCCGGTCTGTGAGACTGTCGCCGCTTTCGAGGGCTGCTGGCGGGGCCCAGCACAGTCTGCACCCGCGGCGGATTCAAATTAGACCTCGCCATCCCTGGGGGGCTGCGATCTGCGAAACTGTCGCCACTTTCGAGGGCTGCTGGGGGGCCCAGCACAGTCTGCACCCGCGGCGGATTCAAATGTGACCTCGCCATCCCTGGGGGGCTGCGATCTGCGAAACTGTTGCCACTTTCGAGGCCTGCTGGGTGGCCCAGCGCAGTCTGCACCCGCGGCGGACTCAAATGTGACCTCGCCATCCCTGGGGGGCTGCGATTTGCGAAACTGTCGCCACTTTCGAGGCCTGCTGGGGGGCCCAGCGCAGTCTGCACCCGTGGCGGATTCAAATGGGACCTCGCCACTCCTGGGGGGCAGCTACCTGCGAAACTGTCGCCACTTTCGAGGCCTGCTGGGGGGCCCAGCACAGTCTGTACCCGCGGCGGAATCAAATGTGACCTCGCCATCCCTGGGGGGCTGCGATCTGCGAAACTGTCGCCACTTTCGAGGGCTGCGGGGGGGCCCAGCACAGTGGGTACCCACGGCGGACTCAAATGTGACCTCGCCATCCCAGCACAGTCTGCACCCGCGGCGGACTCAAATGGGACCTCGCCATCATTGGGGGGCTGCGATCTGTGAAACTGTCGCCACTTTCGAGGCATGCTGGGGGGCCCAGCACAGTCTGCACCCACGGCGGATTCAAATGTGACCTCGCCATCCCTGGGGGGCTGCGATCTGCGAAGCTGTCGCCATTTTCGAGGCCTGCTGGGGGGCCCAGCACAGTGGGTTTCCCACGGCGGATTCAAATTTGACCTCGCCATCCCTGGGGGGCTGCGATCTGCGAAACTGTCACCACTTTCGAGGGCTGCTGGGGGGCCCAGCACAGTGGGTACCCACGGCGGATTCAAATGGGACCTCGCCATCCCTGGGGGGCTGCGATCTGTGAAACTGTCGCCACTTTCGAGGGCTGCGTGGGGGCCCAGCGCAGTGACGTCTTACGGGGACTCAGATTAGACCTCGCCATCCCTGGGGGGCTGCGATCAGTGAAACTGTCGCCACTTTCTAGGGCTGTAGTTTCAGCCCCGGTCGAGCCCTGGTCGAGAGCTCGATGCCGCTCGAGTCACCAGCCCCGGTGCCGGCTTCGCCAGCTGTGGTGTGGGCCTCGCCAGGGTCAACCGCCTCACCAGTGTCGTTGGCAGCGTCTGCAGGCCGAGCAGAAAAGCATTAGTTTTTCATTTGCTCTTCTTATGCAGTAGCATCGCTCTCTTACACCTCATGTGGATGTTTGCACTGGGAAACATGCCAACGGGTTACTTTCATCATTATTCAACTCGATTCGTCCATAGGACTGTCGATTTAGTGTCGTGGAATCGGATATCTCGCCGCGGAGTCAGTTGGGATCTGCACCAAGCGATTCCGACGAATTTCGTTTGGTAGTCCCTGTGGCCGCCATTCATGTGCGATCCTCATGGGTCGCTCCTACGCGTAGGTCTTGCTGGTGGTATTCTTGGATGTGCATGGAGAGGCAGATATCACAGGTTATTCCTGCGGTGGTAAGCATGAAGCATAGTAGTCAGTAGCGGATGAACAAACCGCACCGATTATGAGATGACTCATATAATGTCGCAGTGAATGGTAAATACATCGTAATGAATATGTAGCAGCGATCTGCGATTTGTAATGTCACCGTCAGTGGTGTCTCTGGCGGATTTTCGCAAGTATTTCGAAGCTGTGCGGCCGTCAACGAATCAGGAATACGCACGATGGTCATCTTACGTGTGCGCACGATTTGGTAAACAATGTCGATGTACAGTTGAAGTATGGTGCCAGTTACTCCAGGGGTATAGGACAAGCAGAAAGGAGAGGTGAAGTGAGCTGTGCGAGGGGATACTACTACGCTTTCCCTTGCCCATTCGTGCGCAGAGCACACCTCAGCAGAAGCACACACATGTGGACTATTCTGTTCTATAGCCCTAGAGCCCCGTAGCCCCATAGCCCTATAGCCCTATAGCCCTGCCCTATAGCCGCCCTATAGCCCTATAGCCCCATAGCCTTATAGCCCTATAGCCCTATAGCCCGATGACCCATAGCCCTAGAGCCCTGTAGCCCCATAGCTCTGTAGCCCTAGAGAGATTTTGATTGGGGTTTCTCTCCGGTATCATTTCAGCCCCCCGGGGACGGGGAACGGGGGAGGGGGACAGCCAAATATCTCACACGCCTTTTCACTCCCAGCAAGCAGGGGTCGGCGGACTAGCATCACGGGAGGGGTTCGCGTCACATGCGTATGCTTGGGTTGTCTGGGCCAGTGTGTGGTTCAGGCTGCAGATAGGTCGAGAATCCGTTGATATCGTCGAGCTCATTCTAGGGGCAGACATGGTCGAACATCGGGATGGGCTCGGATTCACCTTGCGTCAGGTTTATCTCGCCTCAGAGCCAGCTGCACTCGTGACTCGGAATTGCGCTGCCGCCTCGGCGTCGGCTGCCCTCTCGACTGGGGAAAATGTCAGGTAGAGTAGGACATGGGAGAGGAGGCGAGGGGAAGCGGGAGGGAGAGGAGGGAAAGGAGAGCGGATGGGAGAGACGGGGAGATGCGGATGCTTGAGGGTGGAGCGGGCAGGATCACGGTGAGCGGAGGAGTCGTCATTGGGTATGTCGGGGTGGCCATCTCCTTCTCCCAGTCACGTTTCCTCCCCAAACCTTTCTCTGTGTCTCTCCACCTCTACCATTTCTTTCTTCTTTACCCTCGTCAAGCCCACCTCCCTCGTTTTCCTTCTTGTCGGCCGTCCGTGCCTTTTTTCTTCCACTCCCCCGCTGTCCCGTTCCGTCCCACTCTTTCGCAGCCACCATCCCCGAGGCCGTATTGCTTTTCAGCTTGGCGGTCGTAGTGCCAGAAGCCACCGCCAGAGGAATATTTTCATTCGCCCCTGCGGGGATGAAAGGGAGGGGGAGGATGGGGGAAGTAGGAGGCCGAATCTCAATTATCACTTTGGCACTTCATGCCCTGAAAGTATTGGTCCTGGGATTGCGCTTACCCCCTCGACCTCCTTGTCACCGACCCTATGGCGGCGTCTATTGAAGAGTCCACGTCACGAGTTCTACCCTTGAGGGGTGCCTGTCCCACCTGCTTGCGGACCGTGACTGGGCGTGGTGGCGGTACATGCGTCGGGCGTCAGGTGGATCGCAAGATGCCGCTTTGCGCATCCGCGTGCTCGCGGCTGGCTCGCGGATCACCCGAGGCTAACCCAAAA